CCCTCGGCCAGGCGAGGCGTGACGATATTGCGGACAAATTGCATCTTTTCATTCTCCCCCCGCCGGGCCGGGTCGCTTCCTCGTGGCGGCGGCGGTGCCCAGGCCGGGCGCCGGGCGCGCGCGGGGAGGGCCGGCGGGCGGCGCAGGCGGCGGCCACCGGAGCCGCGGCCCGGCGACACAGTGGGGCACACCGGCGTCGCACCGGCCCGGTGTGTGGGAGCATGCCCGAACACGTTCCGGCCGGCCGGCCGGCCATGCCCGCGCCCCCTGCGCACGCGGGCCGGTCATTTGCCGTTCCCCAGAACATGAGCACATCTGGCCCAAGGTAAAAGGCAGCAGGCGGGGGGACAAGGTGAGCGGCGGCGGCGGTGGCGAGAGGACAGGCCCCAAGGGGGCCGGTTGCGCGCCCGGCGGGGCGGCCTTCCCGCGCGCATGCGGGTGGAATATCCCGCGCTCTTTCTCCCTCCCTCCCGCACCCTCGCCTGGTTGTGTTCCGCCCCGCCCGGCGTGCTTGCGCGCCGTCCCCGCACGTCCCCCCCCCCCCCCCCGCCCCCTCTCTCCGGCCGTGCTCTTCGCGCACTTCCGGCGTCCGGGCGGGCCGCACCCGGACCGCGTCAAGATGGCACACGTGTTATTGTACATCATCGGGCGGGGGATCACGCGTCGCGACATACACCTCGTAGTGGTGGTTCATGCGCGGCAGCTCGAAGAGGCGGTGATGCGACACGAGGGCGCCGGCCCCGGGGCGTCGGCGGATGAAGACGATCTTGCGAATGCGCGAGTGCGCCAAGGCCATGGCGCACCTTTTGCCCCGGCCGACGGGCGGCACAATGGCCGAGGCCGAGGCCGAGGCCGTGCGTGCGTGCGTGCGTCTGGGTCAGGGGAGTCGGGCGCGGGCTGGTTCGAAAACGAAAGGCGGGGGGCCGGCCCCGTGGGCCAGGTGCGCGTACATGATGCACGGCTCGTCCAGGACATACAGATCCAGGCCGTTGCACAGGTGGGAGGACTGGATGGCGGCGGCTTTGGACTTGGTCAGCTGCAGGCCGCCGAGGGCGGCCGTCGGCGCTGGTGCCGGGTCCAGGGCCGATGTCGCCGATGTCGCCGGTGTCGCCGGGGCCGAGGGGGAGACCGGCTCGCCGAGGGCGCGCCGGCGTGGCCCCAGAAGGCGAATGTCCCGCCGGGCCTTGGCATCCAGGCAGGCGATCACCGCATGGCCGAGGGGGTGGAAGTGGGGCCCGGCCGCGCGGGACCGGTCCAGAGCCCCGGCGACCAGGGCCCCGGTCCCGTCCAGGGCCAGCGGATCAACCAGGATGGCGGCATTGGCCGAGCCCGGGGGTTTGTTGGTTGGCGGCAGGTCCACCAGGCCGGCCGGGTCCTCGAGCAGGAAGGACCCATCCGGGGACAGGACCACATCGGGCAGGGCCGACACCGGGCCCCGGTCGGGCGATGTGGCGATGGCTTCCAGGAGGCCCAGGGCGCGGGCCGCTTGGTGGGCATCGAGCTCGGCCCGGGCGACGAGGCCCCTATGGCGGGGGCGAGGCCGGGTGCTTAGTACGAGGGGCGGGCTCAGTGCCACCGGGAAATGGGGAGGGGCGCGGCCGGGTGCTGGCGGGGGAGGCGGGCCGGGGGCCAGGAGGACGCACTTGCGGGGCGAGTGAAACACCAGCGGCCAGGTTTGCGTCCAGTCGCGGTACTGCTCCAGGGTGACGGGCGCATGGCGGGGAACATTGACCAGGCGCACGTGGCGTCGAATGAGGGCGTCCTCGGCGGGGGACTCCGCCGGGTGGCCGTCATCGGCCGGGGGGTAGGCAGCGCGGACGCACTGCCGGAAGAGGGCCACGATGTCTGGCGTCTCGGCCAGGGGGTCCGGCTGGGGGACGTCCACGGCCTGGGGCGGCGGCGGCGGCGGCGGCGGCGAGGGGGCTGCCCGGTCGGCCGGGTCGGTCGGCTGGCAGAGCAGGATCTGGGTCATCGGCCGGGCCGGCGGGGCTGCCGACGTGCCGGGGGAGCGGTCAAGGCGCCGGACCCGGCGCAGGTGCGAAAAGCACTGCTGCTGCAGGGCCGACAGCCGCAGCAGCCCGGAGGAGGCCGACGCCTCGGCCACGATCGACCAAAGGGGGATCGTCTGCAGGCTGCGCGTCAGGGGCTCGGGATCCACGCGAGTGATCGTCCAGCCGCGCACGGTCTGCATGGTGGGGGAGGGGGTGGGGGAGGAGAGAGGGAGGGGGGAGGGGGTGGGTGCGAGAGGCAGGACGAGGCGAGGCGAGGCGAGGCGAGGCGAGGCGAGGTGCGCGGGGCGGAAAGGGGGGGGGGGGAGGGGCAGAAGCGTGCCCCGGCCCAGGGTTGCCTGGCTAGCGCGGGCGGCCGCCCTAAGGCTGCGGCCCCGCCCCGGGGAGATCGGGGGGTGGCCATATCGGGCCCCTGGCCGAGG